CCTCCAGCCTTCTCCTTGTTGCAACATTCACCACCCATGCTTTGCACCCATATAAGAGCGTTGGCATAACTATAATCTCATACATTCCCTTAGCATCCGTGGATAATGTTCATCTCCACAGACTCCTCAATGTACCACTCACATTTTTTCCCTAATCCATTTTATGATTCACCTCATCTTTCAAAGACCCGTCTGCTGACAGGTCCCCTCCCAAATATCTAAATACATTCACATCCTCTATACTCTCTCCCTCCAATTTGATATCCAGTTTTTCATTACCTTAATTTTTTGTTATCCTCATCACCTTACTCTTTCGTATGTTCACTTTTCCTTCTTTTACATACACTACCAAACTTGTCTAGCAACCTCTGCAACTTCTCTTCAGACTCTCCCAAAAGCACAGTGTCATCAGCGAAAAGCAGCTGTGACAACTCCCACTTTGTGTTAGAATCTTCATCTTTTAATCCCTCGCCTCTTGCCAACACCCGAGCATTCACTTCTCTTACAACCTCATCTATAAATATATTAAACAAACATGGTGACATCACACATCCCTGTCTAAAACCTACTTTTACCGGGAAATAATCTCTCTCCTATATACTCTAACCTGAGCCTCATTATCCTCGTAAAAGCTCTTCACTGCTTTCGGTAACCAACTTCCTATTCCATACATTTGCAACATCTGCCACACTTCCCCGCCCCCCTTCCTATCCACCCTGTCAAACACCTTTTCCAAATCCATAAATGCCACGAAAACCTCTTTACCGTTATCTAAATACTGTTCACTCATGTGTTTCACTCTAAACACTTGGTCTACACATCCCCTATCCGTCCTAAAGCCTCCTTGCTCATCTGCGATCTTGCTTTCCGTCTTACTCTTAATTCTCTCAATAATAACTCTACCATACACTTTACCAGGTATACTCAACAGGTTTATTCCCCTATAATTTTTACACTCTTTTATCCCCTTTGCCTTTATACAAAGGAACTATGCATGCTCTTTGCCAGACCCTAGGTACCTTACCCTCTTCCAAACATTTATTAAATACAAGCACCAACCACACCAAAACTATATCCCCACCTGTTTTTAACATTTACATCTTTTTCCCATCAATCCCAGTTGCTTTACCCCCTTTCATTCTACCCACTGCCTCACGCACTTCTCCCCCACACTCACAATTGGCTCTTTATTACACCTACAAGATGTTATACCTCCCCGCCCAATACACGAAATCACAGCCACCCTATCCTCATCAACATTTAATAGTTCCTTAAAATATTCCCTTCATCTTTCCGATACCTCTAACTCTCCATCTAGTGACTCTCCTCTCCTATTTTAACTGTCAAATCCATTTATTCCATAGGCTTTCTCAGCCTATTAATCTCACTCCAAAACTTTTTCTTATTCTCAACAAAATTTGTAGATAGCATTTCACCCACTCTCTCTTTGTTCTCCTTTTACATTCCATAAAGCAAAATGGTTTTAAGAAAACATAATAGTGCAGCTGACCGGAGACTGAGCCCGTGACATTTACCAAGGATCCCGGGACACTTGGTTAATTTCAAGAAGCTATCTTGAAATTTACCCATGCCCTCGCATCAGGAGACATGCCTAGTGTTCACTGGGTACCTGATGTTTGGTAAGATGGTGGCCCAGTGGATAAAGAAGTCTAGAAAGTTACCCAGTGCCCCAGGAGGCTGGGCAAATGTCACGGGTTCGATCCCCGGTCAGGTGCAATATTGTATATATATATATATATATATATATATATATTATATTATATATATATATATATATATATATATATATATATATATAATATAATTATATGCATGCAAAACAACCACTGTGAAAGAATAGTGAAATTCCAAGCGCTTTCGTGACTACTCACATTATCAAGGAACAATAAAAGTAATGCATCAAAGGAAGGCATGAAAAGGGTCTAGACCACACCTCACCATCACATCCCACAACAAAGCAACACCTGATGCGCGACTCATAAGAAAGAGAACACTGCAGCAGACCCGCTGGCCCAACTAGACAGGTCCTTCAAACAACCCACAAACATTTCTACCCAAGAATTAAGATTTATAATTTGTCCAATGTATTATTAAATTCTTCCCAAATTCTATTAATTATAAATGGATCTAATTTATATAAACCAAAGGAAGTATTCATATTATTGTCAAAACTGTCGACCATGGACTTGCTTGATACAACTTTCTCAGCTTTTTGAAAATCAATTGGATGGTTAAAATCTCTCACATGAATAAATAGAGCATTGGAATCTTGTCCCGTTCTAATGCTATATTTATGTTGTTTTAATCTTAGTTCGAGACTTTTACCAGTTTGACTGTAATAAACTTTATCGCAAATTTTACAAGGAATCTTACAGATAATCCGTCAGCATTTTGGGGGGAATTCTTTATCAAAAGTTTTTTTCTGATCAAGTTTTTTAAAAATACAACTTTGATATTAAAATCTTAAGAAAGAAGGCATTCAACCAATTTTCATGGAAAGGGGAGAACCAACTTTTTTTTAGTTAATAAATTTGGGTTGTCCCTTTTTTGGATTGTAAAAAGTATTTCAGCAAATTTAAAAGATTTACAATTACGTTTTTTGGGGTTTTTCAGACATTAGCTTTTTCATAAATTTGAATTTTTTCTTCATCTAGAACATGGCACAAATACGCAAAACTCCAAAAACTTTGAGAGAAAACAACACTTTAACTCTATCTTTATGTCGAATAATGTGTACATAGGAACATTTAGGGTTTTTTGTAATTTTAAATTTGAATTCATTATTTCCCTTAATAATTAAAAACACTAGAAAAGGCAATGAGTTTTTTCCTCAAACTCAACAGTAAAGTTTATGGGGAAAGGGCTAAGCTATTTAATTTTCCAAGGAAATGGTTATATCTACATTTTTGGGGATAAGACACAAAAAATCATCAAAATATCGAACCATTTTGCTCATTAGGGAGGATTTTGTTAAGCAAAACCTGTTTCAAAAAATTCCATTTTAGGTTTAAGAAAAAGTGAAAAAAGGTTCCCCTTCCATACCAAACTTTTGAGTGAAAACTTATCATTAAATACAATTTTGCATCAACAATGCAAAGTTTAATAAGTTTAATGTTTAAATAGGAACTGGCAAGGGAAATCATAATTAACAATTTTTTCAATAAAAACTTTAAAAATCATCAACAGAACTTTTGTAAAAAAAGGAAGTAACATCAAAACTAACCATGTTAAAATCATTTAAGTCATCAAAGGGGCTTTAAATTTAAACAACTAAAATCATGTTGTTTTTAACTTAAAGTTAGAAATTTTGCCAAAAATAGGGGCCAAAATTTTCAACAAGCCATTTTGGGTAATTTATATGAAAAATGATCCTATGGGGCTAAAATTGGATCCCTGGGTTTTTGTGTTTTAATTAGTCCATACATGTAAGGAAAGATGGATTAGGGAAGTAAAATTGTCTGATTAATTCTCTTTCCTTTTATAAAGTTCTTTTTGTTTTTTGAAATTGTTGTTAACGTTTCTAAGGGATTTTTCTAATTTAGAATAGGGTTTTAGTATCATCTAAGAAATATTAATTTTTTCTTTGGTAATCATTTTTCCTTTCAAAAAATTACTAAATTTTCATTGTTTTATCTGCTTTTATTAATATTAAGTTGTACATAAGACTTAAAAAAATCTTTGAGGGGGAATTGGGAATGTTTTGGTTTTTAACATAGAGCTGTATACCATTCCTTTTCTAATATTAATTTCATCAGTTGATAAATCAGAAGATTTTTCAAAGTTACAAAAGGCTTTTACAATTTCAACATTATTAAGTTTTTTTTGAAGTTGCAAAACTTAGACCAAAACCTAGAGCAGCAGTTGTATTTTTATCTAATATTTCATCTGATAAGTTAATTACAAAACTGTTATTAGCATGCTTTGTCCAATCACTATTTTCAATTAAAATGTCTAATTTTCTTTGTAGTTTGTGTTTGAGTGTTCTCTTTCTTATGAGTCGCACGTCAGGTGTTGCTTTGTTGTGGGATGTGATGGTGAGGTGTGGTCTAGACCCTTTATAAGTCTTCCTTTGATGCATTACTTTTATTGTTCCTTGATAATGTGAGTAGTCACGAAAGTGCTTCTTGGAATTTCATTATTCTTTCACAATGGTTGTTTTGCATATTCTGAAATCAACTGTTTACTATGATCTTATTTGTATAAATATAATATAATATATATAAAATAATATATATATATATATATAATATATATATATATATATAATATAAATAAAATATATATATATATATATAATATAATATATATATATATATATATAATAATTTTAATACCACTTTAAATAATTTACATAATTTCATTAGCTGATAAAAAATTATAAAAAAAATTTTTCCTTAAAAATGCACTAAAAGCCACTTAACATGGGGGAAATCGATACCACCTAACCCTTCTAGGGTAGGGATCCTAGCCCGACCTTTGCTCTAAACTGTCATTCCCATTAGCCCCCTTGGGGGGGGGATGGCAGACCAAGAGCCTAGTTTTGGGGCTAGGCCTGGGGACAGTTGGTCCCAAAGATGAGGGGGGTACTTGTGCCTCCTCCCAGGGGAGACTTAGGTCCAAAACCCCTAAAGAGGGAGCCAAGGCCGGGCCACCACTTGGGACAAGGCCCCGGGGGCCCGGGGAAATACCGGCAATCTTTAACTAAACTAACACTAACGGATAAACGTCCCTTATCTTGCTTTAATGGGGGGGGTGAAACAGGGAAAAAGATAAAGAACAGACTGTCTGGTAATAAGAAGCAGCTAAAAGAACCACCACATAGCAGCCAACTGCAGGGGCTGTGGTCACAGAAGGGTTTCCCAGCGGCCATGTGGGGCCCCCGACACAAACTAGCCACAGCAGCAAACCATCAACCTCCCCACCTACAAGATCCTAGTCCCTTTAAATCAACTTTTACCCCTCAAACAGGGGAGACAATCATGGAACCCAAAAGAGCACTAGATAAAACCTCAGATGGTGGCGCAGCCGTAAAGCGCCTTATGGATGAGCTCGAAGATCACCGCTTGCTAAAACAACATCATTGGTTTCTCCCCCTTTAATACTCGTAGGCCCCGGGGAAACCCCATGCTTTTTCGATGTTTTTGTTGCACTCGCGAGACTTTCTGACCTTCAAGAACAACGCCGCTTTCTTCCGTGAGCGTATGAATGAAGGAGAGTTTGCTTATGCTCTCTATGCGGCGGTTACCCACTCTTATTTAACACGATATGTGGTCTTACCACCTCTGTATGAAGTCACCCCTCATTTGTTCACAAACTCAGAGGTAATTAGCAAAGCTTATACTGCTAAGATGACGCAGACACCAGGCATCTTTAAGATGGAATTTACTGGCAGCAAGAAAAACCCTGAGCAGCGTGTGGCCTACTTCGGTGAGGACGTGGGTATCAACTCTCACCACGTCCACTGGCATTTGGACTTTCCCTTCTGGTGGACAGGAGATAAGATTGACCGCAAGGGAGAGCTTTTCTTTTGGGCTCATCACCAGCTCACTGCCAGATACGACGCTGAGCGCCTTTCAAACCATCTACCTCCAGTAGATGAACTCTACTGGGACCGCCCTATTAAGGACGGATTTGCTCCTCACACTGTCTACAAATATGGAGGGGAGTTCCCCACTCGTCCAGACAACAAAGAGTTCGATGATGTAGAAGGTGTGGCCCGTATTCGTGACTTAAAGGTATTAGAAAGTAGAATTCATGATGCCATTGCTCATGGTTACATTTTTAACGCAGATGGCACCCACACAGACATCGACAATGACCACGGCATTGACATCCTAGGTGACATCATTGAGTCTTCCGCTTATAGCACTAATGTTGCATACTATGGCGCGCTACATAACCAGGCTCACCGTGTCTTGGGTGCACAGGCTGACCCTAAACATAAGTTCAACTTACCACCAGGAGTCATGGAACACTTTGAGACTGCAACCCGCGACCCAGCATTCTTCCGGCTCCACAAATATATAGACGGTATCTTCAAGGAACACAAGGACAAGTTACCACCCTACACCGAGGAAGATTTACTCTACAGTAATGTCAGGATCACTGATGTTGAGGTCAGCGAACTCTCTACCTACTTCGAAGATTTTGAGTTTGACTTGACTAATGCTCTAGATACAACAGAGAACGTTAATGAAGTTTCTGTCAAAACCCGTGTATCACGCCTGAACCATAAACCATTCAGCATGAACATTCACGCCCACGCTGACCACGACGATAAAGTCACAGTTCGAATCTACATAGTACCTAAGTACGATGAGAATCATATCGAGTGTGACATCGACGAGTCTCGCTGGGGAGCCATCTTGCTCGATACCTTCTGGACCGAAGGTGAGTTCTTACCTTGTTTCGTTTTATTTTTTAAATCATAGCATAATTTTTATATTTTTCACAATTTTGTTATTTTTAAGTTGCCAATTAATCCAGCATTTTATATACATGATGGGGGTATTTAATCTTTATTTTTGCATTGCAGTACATGCTGGAGATAACGAAATCAAGCGTAAGTCCTCAGAGTCATCAGTGGCTATTCCTGATCGCGTGTCCTTCCCTCAACTGATCCACGACGCTGATGTGGCTGTAGCCAACCGCGCTGAGCTGCCTCATAAGGACACTCGATCTTGTGGTCACCCCCAGAGGCTACTGCTGCCCAAGGGTACTAAGGAAGGCATGGAATTTTGGCTTGACGTCTTTATTACCAGCGGAGATGACGCTGTCCATGATGACTTAGCAGTTCACGACCACGGCAGTACTCATGGTTATTGCGGTATCCGTGGGGAGAAGTACCCTGACAAGCGGCCAATGGGCTTTCCCCTTGACCGTCGTATTCCCGACATCAGAGTCTACAAGGTGCCCAACCAGCATGGCCATGTGGTCAAGATTTTCCATCACTGAACAACATTTTAGGGTATTCTTGAATTCGAATATTCACGTGGAAAATTTAGTTTATACAAATAAATTGCTTATATTAAAATTAATAACTAATAAAATTTAAAATTGTAGCAATGCATACTGACTATCAATAAAACGCAAAGATTTCGTGTTATATTCCTTCCATAATGCAACATGTAATATCCTCAGTCATTACGACTTTAAATAATTGCTAATTATTATTATTATTATTATTATTATTATTATTATATTATTTTACGTAAACAGATAAAAAATACTACTGATTAAGAAATCTAGAACGCAGCTTCGAAGCGCTGATGAGCTCTCGATCCAAAGAATTTGAGCTCCTTTTCCTCAGTTACCCATCATTCCCCTGGGCTGTTGAAGAGGTAATCGGGTTTGATTCAGAGAAGGGAAGGGTAGCTCCAATTACTCGGATCAAGACATACCTCTAAAGGAGCTTTGTTTTAAGACAATTTTCCTTGTAACAGCCTAAAGTAATTTTGTCATAAGAAAATTGCTTATCTAGAAAACAGTATTAGATAAGTTTTCCATTCTATATTATCGGGTCATTCTTCCTCTGCTAGAAATATCAGGTCACTTTGCTAGAATTGTAAAATAAGGTCACTTTGCTAGTAGTGTAACATCAGGTCACTTTGCTAGCACTGTAACAGGTCACTTTGCTAGTTCTGTATCAGGTCACTTTGCTGAAACTGTAACATCAGGCCACTTTGCTAGTAGTGTAACATCAGGTCATTTTGCTAGTAGTGTAACATCAAGTCACTTTGCTGGAACTGTAACATCAGGTCACTTTGCTAGCAGTGTAACATCAGGTCACTTTGCTAGTAGTGTAACATCAGGTCACTTTTCTAGTACTGTAACAAGTCACTTTGCTAGAACTGTAACATCAGATCACTTTGCTAGTAGTGTAACATCAGGTCACTTTGCTAGTAGTGTAACATCAGGTCATTTTGCTAGTAGTGTAACATCAAGTCACTTTGCTGGAACTGTAACATCAGGTCACTTTGCTAGCAGTGTAACATCAGGTCACTTTGCTAGTAGTGTAACATCAGGTCACTTTGCTAGTACTGTAACAAGTCACTTTGCTAGAACTGTAACATCAGATCACTTTGCTAGTAGTGTAACATCAGGTCACTTTGCTAGTAGTGTAACGTCAGGTCACTTTGCTAGTATTATAACAGGTCACTTTGCTAGTACTGTAACATCAGGTCACTTTGCTAGTACCGTAACATCAGGTCACTGTGCTAATATTGTAACATCAGGTCACTTTACTAATATTGTAACACCAGGTCACTTTGCTAGCACTGTAACATCAGGTCACTTTGCTAGCACCGTAATATCAGGTCACTTTGCTAGTAGTGTAACATCAGGTCACTTTGCTGGTAGTGTAACATCAGGTCACTTTGCTAGTAGTGTAACATCAGGTCATTTTGTTAGTACTGTAACATCAGGTCACTTTGCTAGTAGTGTAACATCAGATCATTTTGCTAGTAGTGTAACATCAAGTCACTTTGCTGGAACTGTAACATCAGGTCACTTTGCTAGCAGTGTAACATCAGGTCACTTTGCTAGTAGTGTAACATCAGGTCACTTTGCTAGTACTGTAACAAGTCACTTTGCTAGAACTGTAACATCAGATCACTTTGCTAGTAGTGTAACATCAGGTCACTTTGCTAGTAGTGTAACATCAGGTCACTTTGCTAGTATTATAACAGGTCACTTTGCTAGTACTGTAACATCAGGTCACTTTGCTAGTACCGTAACATCAGGTCACTGTGCTAATATTGTAACATCAGGTCACTTTACTAATATTGTAACACCAGGTCACTTTGCTAGCACTGTAACATCAGGTCACTTTGCTAGCACCGTATCAGGTCACTTTGCTAGTAGTGTAACATCAGGTCACTTTGCTGGTAGTGTAACATCAGGTCACTTTGCTAGTAGTGTAACATCAGGTCACTTTGTTAGTACTGTAACATCAGGTCACTCTATGAATATATCTCTGAAGTCTGTGGCAGAAGTCTGTGTAAATTAATGAAGCGCTGCTCCCACTCGTTTGCGTAGAGATCCGAATGCATCTCTGTTTCTGACTGCCAAGCAGTCAGAAACAATAGGCAACATGCTTCATTGGATAATGAGTGGAGGTACACAAGGAGGTTTAGTGTTGGCCCCACCTGAAACAACTGACTGGTCATGTATCGTTACTCTGCGATCTGTTAGTGTGATATCCCGATCGTGAATTTAATGCCCAAACTCGCACCATTCTGGATTTAGTTCAGGGATCGCGGGCTGCAGTGTATCGAGTCTGGGTGGCATCCAGAATGCAGGGTTGCTCTTATCCTATTGACAGTATATAGTGGATCGGTGTATTTGGCTAGAGTTAAGCAAACACCTAAGATTGTGTGCACTCTAAATGTCTTGGCTGGTTTCAGGCATGCTGATAGATATCTCTCATTAGTATGTTTAGTGATTCCTCATTGGGCTTCGTAATGCGTGGAGATAGGGAGAGCTAATGCTCCATTAACCACTATGTTTGGATAACCCCCACTAATCACTTCATGACAGTCCTTAAAAAGAGTCATCGCTTCTCCCAAAGCACCCTTTCGTTAGTCGTCAGCCACCCCAAACACTTCAACTACTGTAGACACCATTCAAAACCTTTCTCGACCTGCTTGTTGTAACTCTATGAAGCATCCAGCTACACTGCATTTTATTTACATGATATTTTACGACCCCAGTCTTGGACGGAGTGAAGCTGAGACCGTAACTAGACAACCATAAAATTAACCAGTCGCCTGTAACCAGAACAGGTCAGAAAATTTATTGTCATGTATATGGTGATTTATAACGTTATCAGTGCAAACTATGCTTTACAAGCTAGCAAACAGCAGTTATTTACAAAATACACTGCATATATATAATAACTTGAACTTCAAAATATACCTGTTGCCAAAGAAGACCGGTCTAAAAACAGCTGGAAATACCGAAGTGATGTCGCCAAAGAGTAGCAGCCTCCATCTTCTTTCAACAGTTTATTTTAAAGGTCATTTCTTGACAATGACAACACTCCTGCCAACCCCAACAATATCGTAATTGCTGGCGCTACAGTTATTCAGAAAATTTTACAAGTCAATCGCAGAATTACAATCTGCATCTGCTATACACACAATGATTCCTCTTGCAGACGGTCCAAGCCTCGTTTCCTGAACTGTTTTGGATGCTGTCATTCCTAGTTTTTATTATAAAATATTGACTCACCTTCTCATGTTTGTTGAAACACTTCTCTATATTTGTGTTGAGGGATAGCTCCAGGCCCGATAACTGCCTTCAATAGAGGCGTTGAAGGAGTTTGAATCCTAGTTTTAGGGTCTGACACACTGACTTCAGAATTTACCTGATTTTCATCTAATTTTTCGTTGTAGCTTGCCATCATGATTAAAGAAACAGAAACTTTAGAGTAGTGTGTCTTCGCAGGGAAAAGGACAGAAAATTAAGGAAATGCTCGGGCTTCATGTTGGAGTAGTTGTTTTACTTGTTAATATACGAGAGTAATGGTAGCCGAATTCAGAAAGATGCTGATAAAAATAGAAGGCGCTCAAGTCCAGTTGAGAAAGTTTTATTATTAACAACGTAGCACCTGTGTTGCCTGCCTTTTTAAGTCAGACATTTTTCAAGCCTGTAACACAGGTGATAGGTTGTCAATAAAAAAGTTTCCTTCAATACACTGTAATGTCTTTATTAATAATTTTTAAATGTCTCAAATGCGTATTTTAATATACTTTTATGTTTATCAGCAATTCTTAAATTTCTGACTCACTAAGCGTGGCGGCCACTTAGAAACAAGGCTGCCACAGTGGCTGAACTTCCCAGGTCTAGGCCAGAGTGCGTTTACAAGAGCCTCGTCTCTAGTCCATGTAACACATCCAAGTTCCATGTCACAGATAATGGCCTGATAGCGTATCTGTTTTCTAAACCTTAGTCACGGGGCGATTACGCTAGTTCACCAAGGTTCAAGAGGAGGATGACATCGCCACTTCTGATCATGCCCCTTCTAATTATTCTTATCCGTAAATATCCTAGATGACTTAACGGTGTGTTTCGGTTTTGCATGATCTCAGAGAGGTACCTCTCGTATCCAATAAACCCATTGTACCCCAGTGTACGCAGGTGTACACTGGGCAGCATAAAGTTCTAACTTTATCACCTTGCAGCCGAGGAAAAAAAAAAAAAAAAAAAAAAAAAAAATACAGCATAAAATTAAATTTCTACTAAACCACAAGCTAATTAACTCAACGTATTAACATAATTGGTGTCACTTTAGTGAAGTCATATATAAAACTAGATTTATTGCAATCATTGGGCGATCCGGGAAAGGTATCCTTGTATTGCATAACCCCAGCAAAGTGCGGCATGTGTTTCTAATGCTGTTAAATATTAGCGTTGATGCTATGAAGTAAATCGGGAGAAGAAATAAAAAGTTACCACACGGAAATTAATATCCCAATTTATTCAGTAAAAATGTAAACCTAGAACATACGCAGCCCAAAATTTATTCAAAACTTCCGCTGAGAAACTCCAGCTTTGAAACTCAACTTAAGAGTCGTACTGTTGTTATCTCTATCCTGAAATACACCAGATAGTAATAAAAAAGGCACAATACCGTGGCTGGAAAAATACACAAATAATCCGCACATAGACTGAAACCTATGACAACCTGTAAGTCCGAAAATAGTTAATGGTCCAAGTCCGACCGAAACGTCGTTACTAGTTTGTCTCCTACGTGCGGGTTATTTGTGTACAATATATTAAGTTTGAAGTCGCTCAGAAGTAGCATTATCAAGTTATCGGCATTGAAGGGTTGAAGAAAATCGTAAGAAGCACTTAGAAATTTTCTCACAAAAAAAAAAAACATTTAATTTTTCACAATTTCTTCCATAAAAAAATGCAGATTTAGGACCAACACAGTCCATAGTCAATCCAAATTGTTCTCGAAGTAACATTGGCTAGCATTTAATAATAATAATCTTTATCCTAACAAGTACATGTACAAGGTATACAGGTCTAGCTGACATCAGTGACATACTACTATATAGAAAGTCGCTTGTTATGCAGAGCATTTCGGGCAA